CGCCTGCCTTGGCCTCCCAAAGTGCTGTGATTACAGGCATGAGCCACCACGCCCAGCCGAGATTGTTGAACTTTTAAAAATGATTATATTATAGACATTTTGTATTTTATGTTAAAATTTAATTAATTAATTTTGAGACAAGTTCTTGCTCTGTCACCCAGGCTGGAGTGCAGTGGCGTGATCATAGCTCACTGCAGCCTTCAACTCCTGAGCTCAAGCAGTTCTCCTGCCTTGGCGTCCCAAGTAGCTGGGAATACAGGCGTGCACCACCACACCCAGCTAATTTACAAATATACATATTTTCGCAGCAATGGAGTCTCCCATATCTTGCTCAGCCTGGTCTCGAGCTCCTGGGCTCAAGTAATCCTCCTGCCTCAGCCTCCCAAAGTCCTGGGATGACAGACGTGAGCCACTGCACCTGACCTATTTTTAAATTTTAGATGAAGGGGTACTTGTGCAGGTGTGTGACACAGGTCTGTGGTGTGATGCTGAGGTGTGGGCTTCTAATAATCCCATCACCCAGGTAGTGAGCGTAGCACGCAATAAGTAGCTTTTGAACCCTCACCACTCTCCATCCACACTCCTTTTGAAATCCCTACTGTCTCTTTTTCTCACCCTTCTTTTTATTTATTTATTTACGTATGAGATGGAGTCTCGCTTTGTCTCCCAGGCTGGAGTGCAGTGGCGCGATCTTGGCTTATTGCAGCCTCTCTCTCCTGGGTTCAAGCGATTCTCCTGCCTCAGCCTCCCAGGTAGCTGAGATTACGGGCACACACCACCACGCCCAGCTAATTTCTTTTGTAATTTTAGTAGAGACGGGATTTCACTGTGTTGGCCAGGCTGGTCTTGAACTCCTGGCCTCAGGTGATCCACTTGTCTTGGCCTCCCAAAGTGCTGGGATTAAAGGTGTGAGCCACTGTGCCTGGCCAGAAATCTTTCTTACTTTTTTCTTGAGACGGAGTTTTGCTCTTGTTATCCAGGCTGGAGTGCAATGGTGCAATCTTGGCTGACTGCAGCCTCTGCTTCCTGGGGGTTCAAGCGATTCTGCTTCCTCAGACTCCCAGGTACCTGGGAGTACTGGCACGTGCCACCACGCCCAGCTAATTTTTGTATATCTAATAGAGACAGGGTTTCACCATGTTGGCCAGGCTGGTCTCAAACTCCTGACCTCAGGTGATCCACCCGCCTCAGCCTCCCAAACTGCTGGGATTGCAGGCGTGAGCCACCACGTCCCACCTTTGCGTTTGTAACTCTGTCTTGCTTTCTGCATTCCAGAACCCCCAAGTAACACAGACCCTCTTCATAGGCCTATTTTGTTACTTAAGCATCTTATTTAGTGACAGGTCCTTTCGATTCTATTTCCTAATTTTTATTGGGTCAGATGCAATCTTCATATGACTTGTAACTATGCTTCCTAAATGTTGGCCACAAGTCCTTTAGGAAATATATTCTCTTTCCACTAGTTTCTCACATTCCGTGTCTTGTCTTTTCGCTTTCTTCAGAGTATTTCCTTTTTGTGTGGCTTTTCCTCCCTCACTGGAAAACATCAGGCCTATGTAAGCACCTTAGAAGCCGTAAAATTGCTTTATCTGAATTTTGCAATTTAGATTTTGATTTTGACCATGAAAAAAAGACCTGTTGGCCGGGCGCGGTGGCCCACACCTGTCATCCCAACACTTTGGGAGGCCAAGGCGGATGGATCACGAGATCAGGAGTTCAAGACCAGCTTGGCCAATACAGTGAAACCCCGTCTCTACTAAAAATACAAAAAAAAAAATTAGCCAGGCGTGGTGGTGGGTGACTGTAATCCCAGATACTCGGGAGGCTGAGGCAGGAGAATTGCTTGAATCCAGGAGGTGGAAGTTGCAGTGAGCCGAGATCACACCACTGTACTCCAGCCTGGGCGACAGAATGAGACTCCATCTCAAAAAAAAAAAAAAAGAAAAGAAAAGAAAAGAAAAAAAAAACAATCATCATAGTCCCTTGGCCTCCTGTAGAAGATACCATCATTAAATGCAATTCATCATTTTTTTTTTTTTTTGAGATTATAGAAGCAACAGCACGCAATGGTTTTGTGGTTTACATGGAAGTCCATGATTTATTTTGAGTTAATTTGTATCAAAGCTAGCAGGTTGAGGTTGCGATTCATTTTTTGATGTTGCTCTCTGTGTCTCCTTGCTCCAGAAATTTCAGTGAAATGGATATTCCTCCTCCATTAAATTACTTTTGCTCCATTGTCAAAAACTAGTGGGACATAATTCTACGTATCTGTTTCTGGGTTCTCTATGCTATTTCATTTATTTATGTGTCTTTTCTTTGTTCCGTGCCATGCTCTCTCCATTTTATCACAGCAATAGAATAAGCCCAAAACGTGTGTGATCTCTGTCACTTAATTCTTTCTCAAAATGGTTTCGACTCGCTTTTCCATTGCTTTATACATGTTACAATAATCTTTTCTAGGTATATTTTTTAAAAATTTCTAGGTATATTTTTTAAATGCTTGGATTTTTATATGAATTTTGTTTGTTTGTTTCTTGAGACGGATTCTCGCTCTGTCGCCCAGGCTGGAGTTTAGTGGCGCAGTCTTAGCTCACTGCAACCTCCACCTCCTGAGTTCAAGCAATTATTTCTGCCTCAGCCTCCCAAGTAGCTGGAATTACAGGCGCCTTCCACCACACCCAGGTAATTTTTGTATTTTTATTAGAGACGTGGTTTCATCGTGTTGGCCAGGCTGGTCTCAAACTCTTGACCTCAGGTGATCCGCCTGCCTCAGCCTCCCAAAGTGCTGGGATTGCAGGCGTGAGCCACTGCATCCAGCCTGAATTTTGTTAACTCCGTAAATCAGTTTATTGAGAACGGATATCTTTACTGTAGTGAATGTGTTCCATGAACGTAGTACGCCTTTCCTTTATTTGATGTTTTTCATGAGAATTTTATAATTTTTATCATACAGAACTACATATGCTTGGAGAGATTTATATATAAGTATCTCATTCTCTTTGGAGCAATTTAAAATAGTTTGTTTTTTCTTTGAGACAGAGCCTCACTCTGTAGCCCAGGCTGGAGTGCAGTGGTGTGATCTCGGCTCTCTGCAACCTCCGCCTCCTGGGTTCAAGCGATTCTCCTGCCTTAGCCTCCCGAGTAGCTGCGACTACAAGCACCTGCCACTTCGCCCAGCTAATTTTTTTTGTATTTTCTGTAGAGACCGGGTTTCACCATGTTGGCCAGGCTGGTCTCAAACTGCTGAACTCAGATGATCCACTCGCCTCGGCCTCCCAAAGTGCTGGGATTACAGGCGTGAGCCACCACACCCGGCCTAAAATAGTATCATATTTTGTATTTTGGTTTCCCCTTGTTCATTGTATCTGTATAGAAATACAATGGATTTTTATACATGTATCTTGTATCCTGTGAACTTATTGAGCTCATTTATTAGTTCTAGAAAGTTCTTTTCCAGATTATTTGACATTTTCTATCAAGACAATTGTATCATCTTCAAATAGAGACAATTTTTTTCCTTTTTTTCCATGAGGGTTCGTTTTACTCTTTGACTATTGTTTGTATATTTTTGAATTCTTCATAATGATTTTTTTTAAAGCCAAATGATGTTTAGATCCTTCATATACTTCCCTGGACCCCATCCTGGAAAATCCCTCAAGTTATCCTCAGGTCAGAGGTCTTCAAGGAGCAGGTGCTTTAAACGCTGCTCCGTGACCACGTGACTTACCCAACCCTTGCAAATGCTTCCAGAAAATGTCTTTCTTTAGTCTTTTGCTGAAACGTTTAATCAATTCACCGGTTTAAAATTTTTTATTCATAATGGAAATAAACCAGCGTTTCCCTGTGACTTTTTCCGTTTATAGTCAAAGCTGTACACACTGAGCCCAGTGCCTTTTAATGCTTTCTGCTTTGCCAAAACCACCCTTTTTTTTCTGCCTATTTAAACATCATCGTCAGGGCCGGGCCTGGTGGCTCACACCTGTCATCCCAGCACTTTGGGAGGCTGAAGCAGGCAGATCACGAGGTCAGGAGTTCGAGACCAGCCTGGCTGATATGGTGAAACCCCATCTCTACTAAAAATACAAAAATTAGCTGAGTGCAGTGGCCGGCGCCTCTAGTCCCAGCTACTCAGGAGGCTGAGGCAGGAGAAGCGTTTGAACCCGGGAGGCAGAGGTTGCAGTGAACCAAGATCGTGCCATTGCACCCCAGCCTGGGCAACAGCGCGAGACTCC